GATGCAGAAAATGTATTTATTAGGAATTAGTTTACATAGAATTACAATAATCATAACTATCCAAAATATACTCTTTCAATCTACTTCTATATAAATCCGATTTTTCGCACATCGCGATCACAAACTCGCTACGATCTGACGTACCGTCATTTTTTTGTTTAACTAAGAATTAAGTCTTTAATTGTAAATTGAACAATCGGATCATTTAAAAATTGAAACATGGAAAAAATGGAAAATCGAAAATTTAAATATTCCGAAAATTTTAAAAATTGAAAAGTTAAAATATCGAAAAGTTGAAAATTTGAGAAATTGAAGTATAAAAGAGTCGAAAAATTAAAAACCTAAAGTTTAAAAACTTAAAAAGCCGAGAAATCGAAAAATCCAGAACTCGAAAAATGGAAAAGTCGAAATACTAAAAAATCCCAAAACTGACATCTCGAAAAATTGAAAAATAGAAGAAAAATTGAAGAATCAAAATACTGGAAAATCACAAAATTGGACGAAATATCCTAAAATTGGAAGACTAAAAGATTGAAAAATTGGGAAATCGAAAATTCAAAAAAGCAAAAAATCGAAAATTTAAAACATTGAAAATTAAAATATCTTAAAATTGAAAAATGGAGAAATCGAAACATCAAAAAGTCATAAAAATAAAAATTCGAAAGTCTAAAATTTAATAATCGAAAAACTGAAAAATCAACAAACCGAAGATCGAAACCCGAAAATTAAAAAAATTGGAAAATTGAAAAATCGGATAATTCAAAAATCGAAACATCGGAAAATTTAAAAGCTGAGACATCCAGAAATCGAAAAATCATCAAAAGATCGAAAAATTGAGAAGACGCAAATTCGAAAAATTGAGAAAAACGAAATAAGCCAAAATCGAAAAATCGAAAAGTTAAAAATGGAAAAATTGATAAATCGAGAGATTGAATAACAATCAAAACATCAAAACATACAGTTCTCGATAAATCGAGATCTCAAAAAATTGAAAAAACACAAATTTAAAGATTCGGAAAATGTAAAAATTAAAATATAGAACAACTGAAAACTCGAAAAATTGAAAAGTCTAAATTTTAAAAAACGAAAAACTCAAAATCCAAAAAATAAAAAATCGAAAAATCCAGAAGTCGAAAAATCATTATGTTGGAAAATACAAAAATTGAGAAATTAAAAAATTGGAAAATTGAGAAATGGAGAAACCAAAAAAGCAAAGTCGAAAAAGCGAAAAACTGAAGAACTGAAAAATCAAAAAATTGGGAAATCGAAAAATCTTAAATTTAAAACATTGAATAATTGAAATATCGCAGAATTGAAAAATGGATCCAAATTTTTCCAGCATCAAAAAATCAAAAAATTAAAATTCGAAAATCAAAATTTTAAAAATCGAAAAACTGAAAAATCGACATCTAGAAATCGAAACTCCAGAATTTAAAAAATTGAAAAATGGAAAAATCGGATCATCGAAAAATTAGAAGGTCCAAAAGTAAAAAATCGAAAAACCGAGAAATCCAAAAATCGAAACATAGAGAAATTGAAAAAGTTAGACATCGAGAAATCCAAAAATCAAAGAATCGAGAAATCGAGGAGTGGAAAGCCGTGTAGAAAAGTTAAAAATTTAAAAATTGATAAATCGAGAAATTGAACAAACAAAATATCGAAACATCGGAATTCCATAAATCGGGAAATTAAAAAATTGAAATCGAAAAATTTTAAAAAAGAAATATTGCAAAATCGAAAAACCTAGAATTTTAAAAAGTGAAAAATCTAAACATCGAAAAATTGAGAAACCTAAACTTTAACGACAAATTGACAATTCAAAAGGAAAAATCGAGAAAGCAAAAAATCCAGGACTCCAAAAGTCGAAAAGTCGAAAAATCGAAATATTGAAAATCCCAGAACTGAAAGAGATTTCCAAAAAATTGAGAATTTAAAAATTGGAAAAGTGAGAAATCCAAAATCTAAACAGCAAAGTCGAAAAATCGTAAGCTAAAAAAATCAAAAAATTGAAAAATCAAAAAACCTGAAAAATCGAAAAATTGAAGAACTGAAAACAAAATCAAAAGTTCGGGAAGTCGAGAAATGGGAAAATAAAAAAGACTAATTCAGAAACGTCAAAATTTAGAGAATTAAAAAATATTGAAGAACTGAAAAATCGAAAAATCTAAAATTTATAACATTGAAAAATTAAAATATCGTAAAATTTTAAATATTGAAAAATTAAAATATCGTAAAATTGAAAAACCTACAAATCGAGAAATCGAAATTCGAAAATTTAAAAATTGGAAAATTGAAAAATCGGATAATTCAAAAATCGAAAGGCCGAAAAATTAAAAATCGAGAAAACGACGAACCAAAAAATCGGAACATCGAAAAATTCAAAAACTGAGACATTGAGAAATCGAAAAATCAAAAGATCGAGAAATTGAATAGTCGAAAAGTGAAGAAGTCGAAAAATCAAAAAATTGAGAAACCGAAATAGGTTGAACAATCAAACCATCGATAAATCGAGAATAATTGAAAAATCTGAAGTTTAAAAAACAAAAAACTGAAGTCCATAAAATAAAAAATCAAAAAATCCAGAAGTCGAAAAATCGAAAATACGGAGAATCACAATATTGGAAAATAGGAAAATACCAAAACTGAAAGAAATATCTAAAAATTGAGAAATTAAAAAATTGGAAAATTGAGAAATCGAAAAACCAAAATGGCGAAATCGAAAAATCGAAAAATTGAAGAGCTGAAAAATCGAAACATTGAAAAGTCGACAATTGGGAAAATCAAAAACAGATTAATTGAGAAATCGGAAAACTGAATATTTAGCAACGTCAAAGTTTGAAATATGTATTGAAAAATAGAAATACTGAAGAACAGAAAAATAAAAAAATCTGAAATTTAAAACTTTGAATAATTAAAATATCGCAAAATTGAAAAATTGATCCAAATTTTTAAAAGCATCAAAAAATCAAAAAATTAAAATTCGAAAATCTAAAATTTAAAAACCGAAAAACTGAAAAATCGACAAATCGAGAAATCAAAACTCCAGAATTTAAAAAATTGAAAAATCTAAAAATTGGAAAAATCGAAAATTTAGAATTTCGGAAAATTGATAAATTGAAATATAATAGAACTGGAACCTCGAGAAATCGAAAAACCAAAAATTTTAAAAAGTGAAAAATGAAAAGTTAAAAATTGAGAAATCGAAGTATAAAACAGTCGAAAAATTGAAAAATCTAAAGTTTAACAAAAATTCAAAATCCAAAAAGTAAAAAAATTGGGAATTTAATAAGTTGGAAAAGTGAGAAATCGAAAAACTAAAAAGCAAAGTCGAAAAATAGTAAGCTTAAAAAAACGAAAAATTGAAAAAATCAAAAAAACCTGAAAAATCGAAAAATTGACAAATTAAAAAATTGGAAAATTGAGAAATCGAAAAATCGAAGAATTGAAGAACTGAAAAATCGAAAGATTGAAAAGTCCACAATTGGGAAAATCGAAAATAGATTAATTGAGAAATCGGAAAACTGAATATTTAGCAACGTCAAAGTTTGAAATATGTATTGAAAAATAGAAATACTGAAGAACAGAAAATTCAAAAAGTCTGAAATTTAAAACATTGGATAATAAAAATATCGCAAAATTGAAAAATGGCTCCAAATTTTTCCAACCATCAAAAAATCAAAAAATTAAAATTCGAAAATCTAAAATTTAAAAATTGAAAAATTGAAAAATCGGATCATCGAAAAATTGTAAAAGCGAAAAATTGAAGAGCCCAAAAGTAAAAAAACTGAGAAATCCAAAAATCGGAAGATCGAGAAATCGATGAGTGAAAGAAAGTTAAAAATTGAAAAATTGAGAAATTGAACAAAGAAAACATCGAAGAATTTTAAAAAAGAAAAATAGGAAAAATAGAAAATTTCAAAATTCAGAAAATTGAAACATTGAAATATAGAACAACTGAAAACTGGAGAAATCGAAAAACCTAGAATTTAAAAAGTGAAAAATGAAAACATCGAAAAGGTGAAAAATCAAAGTGTAAAACAGTCGAAAAATTGAAAAATCTAAAGTTTAACAAAGAATTGAAAATCCAAAAAGTAAAAAATCGAGAAATCAAAAAATTCCAAAACTGAAAGAAAAATCCAAAAAATTGGGAATTTAAAAATTGGAAAAGTGAGAAATCGAAAAACTAAAAAGCTAGGTCAAAAAAACCTACACCGGAAAATTGAAAAATCGAAAAATCGAAAAATTGAAGAATGGAAAAATTGAAAAAGCCCAAAATTGACATATTGAAAAATTGGGACATCTAGTGTTGAAAAATCGACAAATCGAAAAGCCGAAAAATCTCAAAAGCGTATTTATAAAACACAAGTTCAGGACTATGCTACTTCTGAACATTTAAATAACATTTATTCGACAAAATTGTAAAATGACATCATCAATTCCTAAGGGCACGAACGAATAAATTTTGACTAACGATTTAACATGCTCTCAGTAACTGTAAGTTGGAAAATGTGGTTGACTTTTTTCCAAAAATGTTGACGTCTAAGGTAAAAACTCAGCACGAAGTCATAAACCATAAACGAACGATATAAAATTTAAATTACAGCTAGAATCGTAAAATTTCGAGATTACGTCATTTCATTTTTATGAGCGTTTTACCATTTGATAATATAATTTGAAATGTAAATTTTCCCATTTTGCAAAAACTGACGAAACAAAAAAAAAGAAAAATTGAAAAATTCAAGTCAAGCAAGCTGAGGGAGTGTTATACAAAAGTCACAAACAAATTTTACAACTTTCAGGGCCGGTTTATAGAAACCCGAGTTAAATATTTAATCCTCGATTAATTTAACACTGGATTAAAATGTGGAATGGGAGCTCGTGATTGGTTAAAACCTGCACGTCGCCTAGCAACGAACCTCAATTAAAAGTTAATCGCGAATTAACTTTAACTTCGGTTTCTATAAACCAGGTCTCAATAATATTAAATAATTTGATGCAAACACAAGAAATCAGATTTATTTACCACACATAGAATCACAGTAATCATAAATATCCAAAATACATTCCTTCAGTCTATTTCTATACAACTCAGATTTTTCACACATGACCGTCATAAACTCGGTCCGATCTCCAAAAAACATTTGGTTTAATGCTTCTTCATCGCTCACAAAGGCCGAAATTTCTTCGGGTGTGCACATGGTCTGAGTGCATTCATACGCCGCATGCATCAACATATGAGGCCTGATATAATTAAGACACTCCAGAAAATCCCCATACGAATAAAAATCCCCAACATCGACCCCATACCACTTCAGAATCCGCCCCAATTCATCGTAGTAAGTTCGAACGAGTTCATCTTCATACTTCAGTCTTGTGGAACGATGTGTGGTTAAATAAAGCACCGAAAGCAGATCATAAACAGGAGGACAATATCTAACAATTTGGAAATCAAACAAGACACATTTGGCAGCTTCGCCGTCTTCGTATTTGACCATCATGTTGCTGGTCCACAGATCTCCATGACACAACACGTTCCGAAAACGGTCCGAGGGTCTGGCCACTGTGTAGTACAACTCTCTGAATTTTGGCCAAAATGCGTCAAAGTTGCGTTGGTTTGTTGGAGTTTGGATGTCTGGTAAGAGTTTGACGGCGGCTAGGACTGCTTTGAGTCCAGTTGCTGACTGTCTGGCACCTCTGTGTTTCTCGTCCTCGAAGAACAGGGGTTCGGTGAAATATTCTTTGTAGGAGTTGTACAAAGAGTAGGGTTTTCCTTCCTTTTGAGATATTTTTTCTTCAAGAAGGAGAGAACAAGCGTGAAATTTGGCCAACGTTTTGACCAACAAAGTGAGCATGTTGAAATTTAGAGGTTCCATAGCGTCTAAATTTTGGTAGCCGAGAAGAGCCATGTTTTCAAAGAGCATGAACTCTTTGGGTCTGTAAAAGTAGCATGGTGGTATGCAGTCGTTGATGATGTTGATTTCGTGGTTTAGCATTAGTGCGACTATTGTTTCGTAGACGAAGAATTCTCTTGAAAAACTGTTAAGATCGTTGGCAATGTCCATAGAAATACCGAGTCTTGGGACTGATTTAATGAAGCAATTGACAGTCGTTTCGTCCAACTGAAGACGAATTTTGATCTGTAGTTTGTGGTATTGACCCAAAAATCCACTAACATCACTCAGCGGTGTCACTTTATAACACAGAAACTGGTAGTTGGTAGTTCTGATTTTATTTTTGACAATCACGTAACAATCTTCTTTGGAAAGCAACGGATCAGCTAGACTTTCTTTCAATTCTTGTACACTAGTCTCGTTTTGGTGGTGAAGCGCAGCTTGTAATTTAACCACAGGTAGATAATAATGGGCACTTAATCGAAAATCGTCGACAGTGACGTCCAAGTCACCCTTCGTCGTTTCTTCTTTCAAACACTCATAGTAATAATCGAGCAAAGCCTGGAAGTGACTCTGTCTCAAATCCTCACTCGTATTGAAGAAAATCAACTGAAGAACGTCGTAGATTGGAGGTACGCAAAAATCAGCTGTGAAGTTCAACAATCTACAATCAGTCACAGCACCTTTGTTGTTTTTGAACATCAAGTTTCGATTAGTCAGGTTGCCGTGACACAGAGTTCGTCTGAATTTCGACTCGAGGTGTTTTTGGCGCAGATTTTTGATGGTTTTGGACACCTGGGCTTCATTTTCTAGCACCGACGACAACAAACTTGTGACCGCGGGTGACGATAGATCAAAATTCGAGTGATCTAGCTCAGAGACGAAGTTTGATGCATGGAACGCCGCCAATGTTTTTAGAATGATTTGTAGCTCTTCGGTGTTCAGTAGGCGTCCACGGTTTTCAAAATTTTGCCCTAGATGTTCATAGACGGCTAGGTTGTCTTTTTTGAGGTAGAGTTTCGGGGAAAAATTCGTGTCCAAGGTTTGCGCTACGTTTGGACCCGTTTTGACAAAAAATGTCACACTTTTGGCTTCTTGTTTCTCGTAGATGTTGATCTTGAGTTCGAAGTTTTCGCCCCCTAGTGGTTGTAGTGCGAAGTCGGAGACAATAACGTCGTCAGTGTCGAGGTGTTTTTTGACTATGAGGTCACACTCGTCGCGGGTTAGTGTGGTCATTTTTGACACAGTTCGGTTTTTAAAAAGTCACTGAAATAATTGGAAACGCGGTAAATAAATGAACCACAATGAACTGAGTTTGCGATAGATAAATTACCTTTGAGTGGCGATAACAGGATCATGATAATAACACATGAATCAGTTGTTACTAGCCTAGAATTGTTGAGTGTTACATTTGTTGCACTAACGGGTCCGGATTCCACGAACTACATCACTGATTAAAATGAGGTTTACTTTCACTTGGTTAGGTGCGAGTGGGTAGGCAACATTTACTACACGCTTGGTTTGAAAAGCACAAATTGTAGACGTATTTATTAGGAATCAGTGTACATAGAATCATAATTATCATAAATATCCAAAATAGACTCTTTCAATCTACTTCTATATAAATCCGATTTTTCGCACATTGCGGTCACAAATTCGCTACGACCTTCAAAATAAACGTACCATAATTCCAAAATCGAAAAATCGAAAATTTAAAAATTCCGAAAATTTTAAAAATTGGAAAGTTAAAATATCGAAAAGTTGAAAATTTGAGAAATCGAAGTATAAAAGAGTCGAAAAATTTAAAAACTTGAAGTTTAAAAAACGAAAAATTAAAGATCCAAACAGTAAGAAGTCCAGAAATCGAAAAATCCAGAACTCGAAAAATCCAGAACTCGAAAAATGGAAAAGTCGAAATACTAAAAAATCCCAAAACTGATATCTCGAAAAATTGAAAATGAAGAATCGAAGAACTGAAAAATCACAAAATTGGACGGAATATCCAAAAAATGGGAAATTAAAAAAATTGAGAAATGGGGAAATCGTAAATTCAAAAAAGCAAAGTTGAAAAATCGCAAACTTAATCGAAAAATTGAAGAACTAAAAAACTGAAAAATTGAAACTTTGGGAAGTCCAGAAATGGAAAAATCAAAAAATAGACTAATTGAGAAATCGGAAGACTCGAAATTCAGAAAGGTCAAAATTTAAAAAATTAAAAAATATTGAAGGACTGAAAAACCGAAAAATGTAAGAATCTAGAATTTAAAACATTGAAAAATTAAAAGATCTTAAAATTGAAAAGTGGAGAAATCGAAACATCAAAAAGTCATAAAAATAAAAATTTGAAAATTTAAAGATCCAAAAAAAGAGAAATAAACAAATCGAGAAATCGGAACTCCAAGATTAAAAAAAAATGGAAAATTGAAAAATCGGATAATTCAAAAACTGAGACATCCAGAAATCGAAAAATCGAGGAGTCGAAAAGTCGAAAAATCGAAAAATTAGAAACCAAAATAGGCCAAAATCGAAAAATCTAAAAGTTAAAAATGGAAAAATCAAAACATCGAAACATCCGATTCTCGATAAATCGAGATCTCAAACAATTGCAAAAACGAAAATGTAAAAATTCGGAAAATTGAAAAATTAAAATATAGAAGAACTGAAAACTCAAAAAATTGAAAAATCTAAATTTTAAAAAACGAAAAACTCAAAATCCAAAAAATTAAAAACCGGAAAATCCAGAAGTCGAAAGAATCAAAATATTGGAAAATCCCAAAAATGAGAGAAATATCCAAAAATTGAGAAAATATAAAATTGGTAAATTGAGAAATCGAGAAACCAAAAAGGAAAGTCGAAAAATCGAAAAATTGAAGAACTGAAAATTCGATAAATGGGAAAATCACAAATAGATTAATTGAGAAATCGGAACTCTGAATATTTAGCAACGCCAGAATTTCAAAAATTGAGAAATAGAAATACTGAAGAACAGAAAAATAAAAAAATTGAAAAATCGAATAATTTTAAAAAAGAAAAATTAGAAAAATCGAAAATTTAAAATTTTAGAAAATTGAAAAATTGAAAATAGAAGAACTGAAAACTCAAGAAATCTAAAAATCTAGAATTTTTAAAAAAGGAAAAATGAAAACATCGAAAATTTGAAAAATTGAAAAATCGAAGTATAAAACAATCGAATGAAATCCAAAAAGTAAAAAATCGAGAAATCAAAAAATCCAGGAGTCCAAAAGTCTAAAAGTCGAAAAATCGTAATATTGAAAAACCCCAAAACTGAAAGAAATATCCAAAAATTTGAGAATTTAAAAAATTGGAAAACTGAGAAATCGAAAAACTAAAAGGCAAAGTCGAAAAGTCGTAAGCTAAAAAAAATCAAAAAACCTGAAAAATCGAAAAATTGAAGATCTGAAGAAAATCGAAACTTGGGGAAGTCGAGAAATGGGAAAATCAAAAAAGAGACTAATTGAGAAATGGGAAAATTGAAAATTCAGAAACGTCAAAATTTAAAAAATTAAAAAATATTGAGTAATTGAAAAATCGAAAAATCGAGAAATCGAAACTGGAAAATTTAAAAATCGATAAGCCGAGAAATTAAAAATCGAAAAACCGCCGAATCAAAAGGGGATGGAAAAATTCAAAAACTGAGACATCGAGATATTGAAAAATCAAAAGATCGAGAGTCGAAAAGTCCAAAAGTTGAGAAATCGAAATAGGCCAAAATCGAGAAATCGAAAAGTTAAAAATGGAAAAATTGATAAATCGAGAGATTAAGCAATCAAAACATTGAAACATGCGACTCTCGATAAATCGAGATATTAAAAAATTGAAAAAATGAAAACTTAAAAATTCGGAAAATTAAAAAATTAAAATATAGAAGAACTGAAAACTCGAAAAATTGAAAAATCTAGAGTTTAAAAAACGAAAAGCTGAAAATCCAAAAAATAAAATATCGAAAAATCCAGAAGTCGAAAAATCGAAAAGTCGGAGAATCACAATATAGGAAAATTGAAAAATTGGAAAATCGAAAAGTCAAAAAAAGCAAAGTTGAAAAATCGCAAACTTAATCGAAAAATGAAAAACCTGATAAATCGAAAAAATAAATAACTCAAGAACTGAAAAATCGAAGCTTTGGGAAGTCGAGAAATGGGAAAATCAAAAATAGACTAATTGAGAAATCAGAAGACTAAAAATTCAGAATCGTATTGAAGAACTGAAAAGCCGAAAAATCTAAAAATCTAAAATTTAAAACATTTAAAATATCGTAAAATTGAAAAATGGTGAAATCGAAACATCAAAAAATCATATAAAAATTCGAATATCTAAAATTTAAAAATCGAAAAACTGAAAAATCAACAAATCGAGAAATGAAAACTTGAAAATTAAAAAAATTTGAAAATTGAAGAAGTGGATAATTCAAAAACCGAAATATCGAAAAATCGGAACACCGAAAAAGTCCAAAACTGAGACATTGAGAAATCGAAAAACTAAAACATCAAAGTCGAAAAATCGAAAAACTGAACAACTGAAAAATAAAAAAAAAATTGGGAAATCGAAAAATCTGAAACTTAAAACATCGAATAATTGAATATCGCAGAATGAAAAGTGGATGGAACTTTTTCCAAGCATCAAAAAATTAAAATTCGAAAATCTAAAATTTAAAAATCGAAAAACTGAAAAATCGATAAATCGAGAAATGGAAACTCCAGAATTTAAAAAATTGAAACATTGAAAAATCGGAACATCGAAAAACTGGAAAGCCCAAAAACCAAAAATCGAAAAACCGAGAAATCAAAAAATCGAAAAGTCGAAATACTAAAGAATCCCAAAACTTAAATATCGAAAAAAAGAAAAATAAAAGAAAAATTGAAGAATGGAAAAACCAAGCAATCACAAAATTGGGCGAAATGTCCAAAAATTGGGAAATTAAAACAATGAAAAATTGGGAAATCGAAAATTTCAAAATTCCGAAAACTGAAAAATTGAAATATAGAAGAACTGTAAACTCGAGAAATCGAAGAACATAAAATTTTTAAAATGGAAACGTTGAATTTCAGAAATCGAAGTATAAAACAGTCGAAAAATTGAAAAACCAAAAGTTTAAAAAACGAAAAATTGAAAATCCAAAAAGTAAAAAATCGAGAAATCGAAAAATCCAGAATTCGAAAAATGAAAAAGTCGAAATATATACTAAAAAATCCTAAAACTTAAATATCGAAAAATTAAAAAATAGAAGAAAAATTGAAGAATCGAAAAACTGAAAAGTCACAAAATTGGACGAAATTAAAAAAATCGAAAATTGGAAAATAAAAAACCTGATAAATCGAAAAATTGAAGAATTGAAAAATTGAAACTTTGGGAAGTCCAGAAACGGGAAAATCAAAAAATAGACTAATTGAGAAATCGGAAGACTGAAAACTCAATTACAATTTAAAAAACAAAAAACTGAAAAATCAACAAACTGAGAAATGGAAACTCGTAAATATAAAAAATTGGAAAATTGAAAAACCGGATAATTAAAAAATCGAAACATCCTAAAATTCAAAAACTGAGACATCGAAAAATCAAAAGATCGAGAAATCTAGGAGTCGAAAATTCGAGAAGTCAAAAAATCGAAAAATTGAGAAACCGAAATAGGCCAAAATCGAAAAGTTAAAAATGGAAAAATAGATACGTAAATTGAGGGATTAAAATATAGAAGAACTGAAAACTCGAAAAATTGAAAAATCTGAATTTTAAAAAACTAAAAACTCGAAATCCAAAAAACAAAAAATCGAAAAATCCAGAAGTCGAAAAAATAAGAATATTGGAAAATCCCAAACTTGAAAGAAATATCCAAAAATTGAAAAATTTAGAAATCAGAAAACTGAATAAATATTTAGCAACGTCAAACTTTAAAAATACTGAAGAACTAAAATTTAAAACATTGGACAATTAAAATACCGCAAAATCAGAAAATGGTTCCAAATTTTTCCAAGCATTAAAAAAATCAAAAAATTAAAATTCGAAAATATAAAATTTAAAAATCGAAAAACTGAAAAACCGACAACATCGAGAAATCGAAACTCCAGAATTTAAAAAATTGGAAAGTCGAAAAATTGAAAACCTCAAACGTAAAAAATCGAAAAACCGAGAAATCCAAAAATCGAAATATCGAAAAATTCAAAAACTGAGATATCGAGAAATCGAGGAGTGGAAAGCCGTGAAGAAAAGTTAAAAATTGAAAAATGGATAAATCGAGGAATTGAACAAACAAAACATCCAAACATCCGAATTCGATAAGTGGAAAAATCAGAAAATTGAAAAATCGAAAAATTTTAAAAAAGAAAAATTGGAAAATTCGAAAATTTAAAAATTCCGAAAATTGAATAATTGAAATATAGAAGAACTCAATACTCGAGAAATCGAAAAACCTAGAATTTTAAAAAGTGAAAAATTAAAACAGCGAAAATTGAAAAAAATTAACGTTTAACAAAAAACTGAAAATCCAAAAAGTAAAAAAGCGAGAAATCAAAAAATCCAGGAGTCCAAAAATCGAAAAGTCGAAAAATCGAAAACTTGAAGAACTGAAGAACATCGAAACTTTGCGAAGTCGAGAAATGAGAAAATAAAAAAAAGTTTTGTTCAAAAATTGGAAAACTGAAAATTTAGAAACGCTAAAATTTGAAAAATTGAAAAATCGTAAAATGAAGTGGACAAAACGGGAGAAATCGTGTCACTGAAACACCGAGAAATCGAAAATTAGAAGAATGGAAAAATTGAAAACGCCCAAAATTGAAATATTGAAAAATGGAGACATTTAAAGTTGAAAAATAGAGAAATCGAAAATAGCATATTTATAAACCACAAGTTAGGACTATGCTATTTTTGAAGATTTAAATATCATTTATTCAACAAATGAACGGATAAATTTGGATTAACGATTTAACATACTCCCAGTAACTGTAAGTTGGAAAATGTGGTGGATTTTTTCCAAAAATCTTGACGTCTTAGGTAAAAACTCAACACGAATTCATAAACCATAAACGGACGATATAAAATTTAAATTATATCTACCATTGTAAAATTTGGAGATTACGACATTTCATTGTTGGTGAGAAATTTTGATGAGCGTTTTACCATTTGATAATACAATTTGAAATGTAAATTTTCTCATTTTACAAAAACTGACGAAACAAAAAACAGAAAAATTGAAAAATTCAAGTCAAAAAAGCTGAGGGAGTGTTATACAACAATCACAAACAACTTTTATAATTTTTAATAATATTAAATAAATGATACAAACAAAATAAATCAGATTTATTTACCACACATAGAATCACAGTAATCATAAATATCCAAAATACATTCCTTCAGTCTGTTTCTATACAACTCAGATTTTTCACACATGACCGTCATAAACTCGGTACGATCTCCAAAAAACATTTGGTTTAATGCTTCTTCATCGCTCACAAAGGCCGAAATTTCTTCGGGTGTGCACATGGTCTGAGTACATTCATACGCCGCATGCATCAACATATGAGGCCTGATATAATTAAAACACTCCAGAAAATCCCCATACGAATAAAAATCCTCAACATCGACCCCATACGAGTCCAGAATCCGCCCCAATTCATCGTAGTAAGTTCGAACCAGTTCATCTTCATACTTCAGTCTTGTGGAACGATGTGTGGTTAAATAAAGCACCGAAAGCAGATCATAAACAGGAGGACAATATCTAACAATTTGGAAATCAAACAAGACACAATTAGCAGCTTCGCCGTCTTCGTATTTGACCATCATGTTGCTGGTCCACAGATCTCCATGGCACAACACATTTCGAAAACGGTCCGAGGGTCTGGCCACTGTGTAGTACAACTGTCTGAATTTTGGCCAAAATGCGTCAAAGTTGCGTTGGTTTGTTGGAGTTTGGATGTCTGTTAAGAGTTTGACGGCGGCTAGGACTGCTTTGAGTCCAGTTGCTGACTGTCTGGCACCTCTGTGTTTCTCGTCCTCGAAGAACAGGGGTTCGGTGAAATATTCTTTGTAGGAGTTGTACAAAGAGTAGGGTTTTCCTTCCTTTTGAGAGATTTTTTCTTCAAGAAGGAGAGAACAAGCGTGAAATTTGGCCAACGTTTTGACCAACAAAGTGAGCATGTTGAAATTTAGAGGTTCCATAGCGTCTAAATTTTGGTAGCCGAGAAGAGCCATGTTTTCAAAGAGCATGAACTCTTTGGGTCTGTAAAAGTAGCATGGTGGTATGCAGTCGTTGATGATGTTAATTTCGTGCTTTAGCATTTGTGCGACTATTGTTTCATAGACGAAGAATTCTCTTGAAAAACTGTTAAGATCGTTGGCAATGTCCATAGAAATACCGAGTCTTGGGACTGATTTAATGAAGCAATTGACAGTCGTTTCGTCCAACTGAAGACGAATTTTGATCTGTAGTTTGTGGTATTGACCCAAAAATCCACTAACATCACTCAGCGGTGTCACTTTATAACACAGAAACTGGTAGTTGGTAGTTCTGATTTTATTTTTGACAATCACATAGCAATCTTCTTTGGAAAGCAACGGATAAGCTAGAATTTCTTTCAACTCTTGTACACTCGTCTCGTTTTGGTGGTGAAGCGCAGCTTGTAATTTAACCACAGGTAGATAATAATGGGCACTTAATCGAAAATCGTCGACAGTGACGTCCAAGTCACCCTTCGTCGTTTCTTCTTTCAAACACTCATAGTAATAATCGAGCAAAGCCTGGAAGTGACTCTGCCTCAAATCTTCGTTCGTATTGAAGAAAATCAACTGAAGAACGTCGTAGATCGGAGGTACGCAAAAATTAGCTTTGAAGTTCAACAATCTACAATCAGTCACAGCTCCTTTGTCGTTTTTGAACATCAAGTTTTGATTAGTCAGGTTGCCGTGACACAGAGTTCGTCTGAATTTCGACTCGAGTTGTTTTTGGCGCAGATTTTTGATGGTTTTGGACACCTGGGCTTCATTTTCTAGCAGCGACGACAACAAACTTGTGACCGCGGGTGACGATAGATCAAAATTCGAGTGATCTAGCTCAGAGACGAAGTTTGATGCATGGAACGCCGCCAATGTTTTTAGAACGATTTGTAGCTCTTCGGTGTTCAGTAGGCGTCCACGGGTTTCAAAATTTTGCCCTAGATGTTCATAGACGGCTAGGTTGTCTTTTTTGAGGTAGAGTTTCGGGGAAAAATTCGTGTTCAAGGTTTGTGCTACGTTTGGACCCGTTTTGACAAAAAATGTCACACTTTTGGCTACTTGTTTCTCGTAGATGTTGATCTTGAGTTCGAAGTTTTCGCCCCCTAGTGGTTGTAGTGCGAAGTCGGAGACAATAACGTCGTCAGTGTCAAGGTGTTTTTTGACTATGAGGTCACACTCGTCGCGGGTTAGTGTGGTCATTTTTGAAACAGTTCGGTTTTTAAAAAGTCACTGAAATAATTGGAAACGCGGTAAATAAATGAACCACAATGAACTGAGTTTGCGATAGATAAATTACCTTTGAGTGGCGATAACGGGGATCATGATAATAACACATGAATCAGTTGTTACTAGCCTAGAATTGTTGGAGTGTTAATTTGTGTGCACTAATGGGTCCGCATTCCACGAACCACATCACTGATTAAAATGAAGTTTACTTTCACTTGGGTCGGTGCGAGTGGGTAGGCAACATTTACTACACGCTTGGTTTGAAGAGAATAAACACACAAAAATAACTATCCAAAATACACTCCTTCAATCTTGTCAACGGAGTACCCATACGACTCCAAAACTCTCCCCAGTCCGTCTTAGTACCACGATCCGTCATTAAATGAAGCACAGAAAGTAGATCATAAGCAGGTGAATTATATCTAAAGCTCGGAATTATATGCAGAAAAAATCATGTACATATATATGCGCAATATATTTGCAGAGAAATTTGGCATTATATCGTCGCCTGAGAACTTGTTTGATCCTCAGACCGGAGCGCGCTCAGGCCAAAGTCGACTCTAAGCGTTTAGAATTTCTGCTGGAAATAGTTATTATTTAGATGCTTTTATTTACAAACATAATATCACATCTCACATGTTTCACTCGATTTTGACGTGCAACTATTTTTTCGTTTAACTAAGAATTAATTCTTTAATTGTAAATTGAACAGTCGGATAATTGGAAAATCGAAAATTGAAAAATTGAAATATAGAAGAACTGTAAATTTGAGAAATCGAAGAACCTAAAATTTTAAAACAGTTGAAAAGTTGAAAAACAAAAAGCTTATAAATAGTCGAAATATCGAAAAGTCGAAATACTAAAAAATCCCAAAACTTAAATTTAGAAAAATCGAAAAATATATAGAAGAAAAATTGAAAACTTACAAAATTGGACAAGATATCCAAAAATTGAGAGATTAAAAAAACTGAAAAATTGAAAAGTCAAAAAAGCAAAGTTGAAAAATTACAAATTAAATCGAAAAATTGGAAAATCCAAAATCTGATAAATCGAGAACTTGAAGAACTGAAAAATTGAAATTTTGGAAAGTCCAGAAATGGGAAAATTAAAAAATAGACTAATTGAGAAATCGGAAGATTTTTTAATTAGTCTGAATTCAGAAATGTCAAAATTTAAAAAAATTTAAAATATTGAAGAACTAAAAAACCGAAAAATCTAGAATTTAAAACATTGAAAAATTAAAATATGGTAAAACTGAAAAATAGGGAAATCGTAACATCAAAAAAGCATAAAAATAAAAATCCGAAAATATAAAATTCAACAAATCGAGAAACCAAAACTTGGAAAATTGAAAAATCGGATAATTCAAAAAACGAAATATCGAAAAAAACAAAAACTGAGACATCGAGAAATCGAAAAATCAAAAGATCGAGAAATCGAGGAGTCGAAAAGTCGAGAAGTCGAAAAATCGAAAAATTGAGAAACCGAAATAGACCAAAATCGAAAAGTTAAAAATGGAAAAATTGATAAATCGAGAGATTGAACAATCAAAACATCCAAACATCCGATTCTCGATAAATCGAGATCTCAAAAAAACGACAATTTAAAAATTTGGAAAATTGAAAAATGAAAATATAGAACAACTGAAAACTCGAAAAACTGAAAAATCTAAAGTTTAAAAAATGAAAATCTGGAAATCCAAAAAAAAATATGGAAAAATCCAGAAGTCGAAAAATCGAAAAGTCGGAGAATCACAATATTGGAAAATTGAAAAGTAGGAAAATCGCAAACTTAATCGAAAAATTGAACAATGAAAAACCTGATAAATCGAAAAATTAGATAACTGAAGAACTGAAAAATCGAAGCTTTGGGAAGTCGAGAAATGGGAAAATAAAAAATAGACTAATTGAGAAATCGGAAGACTGAAAATTCAGAATCGTGAAAATTTAAATAATTAAAAAATATTGAAGAACTGGAAAGCCGAAAAATCTAAAAATCTAAATTTTAAAACATTGAAAACTTAAAATATCATAAAATTGAAAATTGGAGAAATCGAAACATCAAAAAATCATAGAAATAAATATTTGAAAATCTAAAATTTAAAAATCGAAAAATTGAAAAATCAGCAAATCGACAAATGTAAACTGGAAAATTTAAAAATTGGAAAGTTGAAAAATTGAATAATGCAAAAACCGAAACATCGAAAAATCGGAACATCCAAAAATTCAAAAACCGCAAAATCGAAAAATCGAAAAACTGAAGAACTGAAAAATCAAAAAAAAAGGGAAATCGAAAAATCTGAAATTTAAAACACTGAATAACTGAAAAATCGACAAATCGAGAAATGGAAACTCTAGAATTTAAAAAATTGAAAAATTGAAAAATCGAAAACTCGAAATACTAAAAAATCCCTAAACTTAAATCTCGAAAAAAAGAAAAATAGAAGAAAAATTGAAGAATGGAAAAACTGAACAATCACAAAATTGGTCCAAAAATTGGGAAATTAAAACAATGAAAAATTGGAAAATCGAAAACTTAAAAATTCCGAAAACTGAACTGAAATATAAAAGAACTCGAGAAATCGAAGAACCTAAAACTTTAAAATTGAAAAGTTGAATTTGAGAAATCGAAGTATAAAATAGTCGAAAAATTTAAAAACCGAAAGTTTAAAAAACGAAAAATTGAAAATCCAAAAAGTGAAGAATCGAGAAATCGAAAAATCCAGAACTCAAAAAATGAAAAAGTCGAAATATGTACTAAAAAATCCTAAAACTCAAATATCGAAAAATTGAAAAATAGAAGAAAAACTGAAGAATCGAAAAACTGAAAAATCACAAAATTGGACGAAATATCCAAAAATTGGGAAATTAAAAAAATCAAAAATTGGAAAATCAAAAATTCAAGAAAGTGAAGTTGAAAAATCGCCAACTTAAAAAATCGAAAAATTGAAAAATAAAAAACCTGATAAATCGAAAAATTGAAACTTTGGGAAGTCCAGAAACGAGAAAATAACAAAATAGACAAATTGAGAAATCGGAAGACTGAAAATTCAAAAAGTTATAATTTAAAAGATTGGAAAATTGAATTATCGTCAAACTGAAAAATGAAAAAATCGAAACATCAAAAAGTCATAAAAAAAAAATTCGAAAATCTAAAATTGAAACAACGAAAAACTGAAAAATCAACAAACTGAGAAATGGGAACTTGAAAATTTCAAAAATTGGAAAATTGAAAAATCGGATAATTAAAAGATCGAAATATCGTAAAATTCAAAAACTTGAGACATCGAGAAATCGAAAAATCAAATGATCGAGAAATCTAGGAGTCGAAAATTCGAGAAGTCGAAAAATCGAAAAATTGAGAAACCGAAATAGGCCAAAATTGAAAAGTAAAAAATGGAAAAATTGATAAATCGAGGGACTGAGCAATCAAATCATCGAAACATTCGATTCTCGATAAATCGAGATCTCAAAAAATTGCAAAAACGGAAATTTTAAAAATTCGGAAAATTAAAAAATTAAAATATAGAAGAACTGAAAACTCGAAAAATTCAAAAATCTAAACTTTAAAAAACTAAAAACTCGAAATCCAAAAAACAAAAAATCGAAAAATCCAGAAGTCGAAAGAATCAAAACATTGGAAAATCCCAAAATTGAAAGGAATATCAAAAAATTGAGAAATTAAAAAAACGAGAGTTTCATCATTTCGGGTAAAATTTTTGACAAATTTTCCCTATTTTCGGGGGTTTGGAATTCCGGAAAGAGAGTAGTGGCGTGGAGGACACCTCTAGCCCCATTTGCTATAAGTCTCCCGCCCCAATGGTCCTCGTCTTCCACGACCAGTGATTCTTTAAAATTCGTCACTTAGTCGGTACCGGTGACCCAACTTCTTCGACATTTTTTCTTCGTAGACAAAAGCACTCGCGTGGAATTTCGCCACCTTCTTGATGATCATGCAAAGAGTGTCGAAGTCGTGGGGGACTAAAGCTAACGTCAATTGGTAGTCGAGGGCGTTCATGTCTTCTAAAACTAGAATGTCGTTGGGTCTTTGGAAGTAGCACGGTGGTAGACAATCGGTGATCATGGTGACTGCACATGATCAAAGCCATTAGAAACACACGCCACAAAACACAGCTAAGTTTATTTAGACATAGATTGAAAATAGTCGTACAAATCTTGAATTCTGTCGCCAACTCTTGACCTATAAATCGGCGATAATTGAACCATTTTATTCAAAAACTCGCTTCGATCTTCGAAAAAAACGTGCACGCTTTCTTCGTCGTTCTTCAGCAAGGAGGAGATTTGTTCAGCTGTGCACATCGAAAACATGCTATAAATAGCGGCTTGGAGGACCATTTGGGGTCGCATGACGTCAATACCTCCCAGAAAATCGTCATAAGTGAGAATTGTAGCCACATCGTAGCCAAAATTTTCGACCAAGCGGCTTAGTTCGTCGTAGTAGACGCGTTTGAGGGCGTCTTCGTGCTTTAGCCGGATATCGCGAATTGTGGTCAGGTGCACCACCGACAAAAAATCGTGACCAGGGGGACAATATCGCAACAATTGGTAGTCGACGAAGCTGCAGTCAACAGCTTTGTCGTTGTCGAACTTGAGCAAAATGTTGCTAGTCCACAAGTCGCCGTGTGACAAGACGTTTCTGAAGCGATCCGACGCACTCACAGTGGAGTAGAAAAGTTTCATCATCTCGGGGAAAAATTTTGACAAGTTGTCTCGATTTTCGGGGGTTTGGAATTCCGGAAAGAGAGTAGTGGCGTGGAGGACGCCTCTAGCCCCATTTGCCATAAGTCTCCCACCCCAATGGTCCTCCTCATCCACGACCAGTGATTCTTTAAAATACTCCCCAAATTCGTCACTCAGTCGGTACCGGTGACCCAACTTCTCCGACATTTTTTCTTCGTAGACGAAAGCACTGGCGTGGAATTTTGCCACCTTCTTGATGATCAAGCAAAGAGTGTCGAAGTCGTGGGGGACCAAAGCTGACGTGACTTGGTAGTTGAGGGCGTTCATGTCTTCGAACACGAGAATGTCGTTGGGTCTATGAAAATAGCACGGTGGTAGACAATCGGTGATCATGTTAATCCCGAGTTGTTCGAATTTGGGGATCAAGGTGTTGTAGACGAAAGCTTCCTTGACGAAACTGTTGCTATCAGCGACGACGTTCTTGGCTGCGATTGACATTGGTACACGTTTGACGAAGCAGTTGATATCAGCTTGGTGACGAAGTTTGATTTGTAGACGATGATAGTCACCTAAGAAACCACTGATCGCGTCTAGATGGGTTACCTTGAACGACAATAGATGGTAGTTCGTGGTTTTTAGTTTCTTGGCAATTATGGCGTAACAGTCTTGTCGTGACAATAAGGGACACGTTAGGTCTTCTTTAAATTCGTCGGGTGATACTAGTTGGTTGATTTGGAGACACTGCAGCTTTATTAGCGGTAGGAACTGGTGGGTTTGCGCTTGCCACTCTTCTATGGTGACAACATCGTCAATCATGACTCCATAGTTGCTCAATTCTTCATTCAGACAGTCGTAATAGTAAGCTAAAAACGAGTGATAATACTGTTGGCGCTGATCTTCACCACAGTTGAAGAAAATCGTCTGTAGAACGTCGACGGCGGGGGGCGCGTATGCTATGGACTCGAAATTAATCAATTTGCAGTCTGTGCGTTCTTTGAACATGACATTGTCGAAAGTTACATTGCCGTGGCACAACGTTCGTCTGAACGTCGTCGACGATTGACGATCTTCTAGATTTTTGACCACTTCTGACGAACCTAGAAGCGACGATATTAGTTTAGTAA